GGAGAGCTGCGGCCGACAGGGAGGAGAACTTTGCAGTTTGCGGTAGCCTCGTTCTGTCTTTGCTGTCATTCTGCCGACGCCGACGACTCGAGGACACGTGGCGCGCGGCGGACGTCAAACCTCGCAAATAAAAATTTCTACACAAGCGGCGGGCGGGGGAATGTGAGGGCCGTGAACGTTTTATTTGCCGCCCGTGAATGAAGGGCACGGCGTCCCTGCTTTCGTTCTAGCTAGAGACCAAATCTCTCTCTCTCTCTCTCTCTCTCTCTCTCTCTCTCTCTCTCTCTCTCTCTCTCTCTCTCTCTCTCTCTCTCTCTCTCTCTCTCTCATCTCTCTCTCTCTCTCTCTCTCTCTCTCTCTCTCTCTCTCTCTCTCTCTCTCTCTCTCTCTTTCTCTCTCTCGATTCGTTTTCACGCGGACCCAGCGCTGACTTCTGTCGTTGCTGTCTCTCCCTTCTCGACTGTCTGTGCTTGTGCGGCTTGGGTCCGGGGTTGTGTTTTTGCGAAGCTATCCCTATTAGCACACGGAACGAAATCCGTCGCGGACCGCTGAGAGCGTTGTGGTTGCGGCCCCGTTTCGCCGCGTGCGTCAGTGAAGGGCGTCCCGCGTGCTGGACGTTGTTCACGAAGTGACCGCCTTCACGCTGGCATTCAAGTGCGGCAGGCGCATGTCAAAAAGGAAGCAGCCAGAGCCGGCTGCGGATCCATTCGTGGCGCAGCAAGCAACTCTGTCCTAAAGACATACCGCAAGAACAGGGGTCTAGAGCGAGAGGAGCTGCTCCCGCTCGCTTGCTCGGCCATCCGTCATCTCAGCTCGGTCTTGAAGTCCAGTAGCGGCCACCGGCCGAAGCCTACGACCATTGCCGTGGCGATAGCACGCCAGTAGCCGGATGTGACCAGAGCAATGCTGCTGTCGCCCTCCAAATCGACCCGGCTCTCAACCACTCTGGCAGCTGGCGACATTGATCGGATTGCCTCGCGCTCATCAAGGTGGCAAGCTCCCATCGAGGCGGCTCTAATGGCGACTTTGAGGCGGCCGCGCCCGCGGAGCCGCGGATCCCGACGCAGAGCCGCCTCTCAACGATGGCTCGGTTGGGACAGCACCCACACCGGCGAGAGCGTGCTCGGGGCGCTGAGCTGGGTGCGGGCAGCCGCACCCAGCCGACGCGGAGTATTGGGGCCAGTACTCGGGGTCGGGGTCTGAGTCCGTCACGCGCCTCTCCTCCAGTGAGGTTGAACGTGTCTCGAGGTCTCGACGTGGTTTATCTTCCTCGTTTAGTATATGTATATATTGTCGAACCCTCCGCCGGACACGTGCCAGACAGAGGCAGCGCCCCTCCCCTGTGCGCAAACCTTCGACCCCCAACCCACGTGCGCCGGCCCTCTGCCCATGCCTCTGCCACACCGCTCCGTCCTGACTCCGTCACTGTAGTCCGTAGAGCAAGAGCGTTGGACCGATTGAGACTGAGTGTGCTGGGTGGTGCCACCACGAGGCTGTGAGCCCACCTGAGGTTCTGAGTTATGAAAGTGTGGCTGAGTTGATTTCTCGTAAACCTCTCATGAGTCGGCAGCACTGCGCATGAGCATCCAACGGTGATCTGGCGCAGGGGAGGGTGACAACCCGCCGCCCTCAGTTGCATCTGGTCTGATGCGCCTGACCCATCCTAAGACTGCCGGGGAGCCCTGCCTTCTGCGGTGCGTGCGGAAGAGGATAGCATGTAGTAGTGTAGCCACTCGCTTCCTGCACCCTCGGCCTCACGAGCCGTTTTCTGTCGTCTCCCTCAATCAGAGCCGATTGTGGAACTCACAGTTACCTCAAATTACGTTCATCGGCGTGACCTTGGCAGGTGAAGAGAACTGCATCCGCACTGCACACGCACCAGAGGCGCCTCAACCCGTGTCCGCCACTAACTCGGATTCCGAATGCGAAGCAGCTCGGCCGTGAGCACCAGAGGGTTATGCTCTTATAACCAGTCGAGAATGCGGCCCCAAGAGCACGGTCGGCCCAATTGCCGCAGCTTCAATTGGCTATTGCGCATGCAAATGGGCGTGGAGGCGGATTCCGGGGCGGCTCGCTTGAACCGGCCGCCATCGCGGCAAACTCCGTGCGTGGTCGCTCAAAAGAAATACGAGAAGTCCCGATCATCCGGCCCGCTGGGTGCGCTTCATAGCTCCCCGGCCCTGGATGTGAGGTTGACGACTGCACTCCAAGTGCTCCAAGCGCATTCGAATTCGAAGAAGGAGGAAACCCTCGCCCTTACCCGCCAGGAACGGGAGCACAGTGAATGCCATAGGTAGTCTGAGGGTTAGTTAGGTTTCTGGAGCCTCGGGTGCTTTTACGCTTTTGATCGGGTCAGGGGAGGGCCCAACTTTTAGCATTTTTCAAAAAATTCTTCGGCGCTGCGCGCCCCGGGTGCAGTAAGTACTAGCTGTCGTCCCGCAAACGGCAAAGTAGTTCCCGCACACTATGGCTCGAAAAATGCTGCCGCTCGCCTCGAAAGCGCCCGCCGGTGTGTGTCCAAACATTTGGAGTATTTGGAGAGCGCCGCCCGCCGGAGAGTAGAATGTCCAAAATTTTCGCGCGCCTGCGGCGCGCGACTTTTACCATTTTGCCCCGGGCGGGCCCACTTTTGTCGTTTTGCCCCAAATCTACGGCGCGCCGTGCTTTTAGTGTTTTGACCCAAATCGGCCGAACTTTTAGGATACGTCTGAATTCGGTCGGACGCCTGTGCCACCCTCCACACACTACACACTACTCACAGTGTACTAGCACGGCGCATCCCGCGCCGTGCCCCCAATGTCAATACTCGAGCTTCCTTGTGCTCAATCTTGTCACGGTCCTACGTCCCTTGCGAGCGTTCGCGTGAAGCAGTGCTTTGATCCTTTACAGTCCTACATAGAGCCAGCCACCCTCCGGCTCTGAGCCTCCGCGCTCAAACGTGGTACCTTACGGTGAGGTGCACTCCACCCCCGAGGTCATGGCGGACATCTCCGCCACGCCCAGCAGCGAAAAAATGACCTATCTGATCACCGACTACTCTGGCGATCCCGTCACTCTCGACGACAACCTCCGGCCTGCGCCCTCGCGCCCGCGCCGTCTCCGGCCTGCGCCCCTGCGCCCGCGCCATCTTCGGCTCAGCGCCGCCCATCATCCAGCTCGCCCTCTCCATCGCCACCTCCATCTTTGTCGTCACCGTCGACTTTGTCCACTACTTTCTCACTGCCGCCCGCCGGCTCGTTGTGTGCGCTCGCGAGCGGTTCACCGCCGCTTGCGCTCTCTCTGCGGCCTGCGTGGCTCGCGCCAAGACTCGCGTCGCTTTCGGCTCCGGAGTCTACTGCGTTTTCACCATCCTGCTCACCGTCACCCTCGCCGTCGCTGTTTCTGGACCAACACCAGTGCCAGTCCCCGCAGAGCCGCTTCCAGACATGATCTCCATCAACGGCGCCTGCCATTTTGCGCTCACCAGCTCCTCTCTGTCGGCACAGCCTCCAGGACGGCCGCCAGGCGCTCCCGGAAGGCAGCCCGGATGGTTTACAACCGTCCTCACAGGTCCGTCCATCAACAACATCATCGCAGCTCAACTTCAAATCACCCGCCCTGCCCCAGTCCCAACGAAACGATGCGGGCCATCTCATATTGAAAGGGTTGCTTCGGTCGAATCTACCGGTCCCCCTTACCTCCTTCACTACTACCATCAACTTCAAACCAACACCAACACCTCCTCTCAGACCACTACCCAAAAAACCTTCTCTACCACCTCCTCCTAACCCAATCAAATTCACTACCTCCCCTCCATTATCAACATCTAATACTTAAATCTCTTTTCCATCATTTAAAATAACAACTCACATCACACAACATCAATTCCAACCTCAACCCTCACACCCACACCTTCTCCAACCTCTCAACCTATTCCCTCCCACCCACACATTCTCCAACTCTACACCTCACCTCCATCAATTTTCAACTCCCAATTTAAATCTTTATATCCATACTTTTTTCTAATTAAAAATAATTCCCTTCCCATATTTTTATATATTTAATATTTAAAATTTTTTTCATTCCAAATTTTTTAAAATTTAAAAAAT